CAAAGCGATCGGATATACATGAAATTTCTGAACCAGGATCAATCAACGCAAGGATTTTATTTCCATTGCAATATACAGGAATAATTACACGCTCATCTAAAGAGTCGTTGTATTGTCTGTGTAACGATTGTACCTGGTAGTACCGTCACTCCAACTTAATGTTGGGCTTTCCGTCACAAGACTTAGTGTGATAATCATTTGTCTTCTCACACTTGTCACACTTAGTAAGAAAGTGTGTACAGGTGGATGCATGTCTACCATTCGAATAACCGTTAGGGGTTAACATACCTACACTGGGCGTCAGCACATTTCTTAATCTCCTTAAATGGAGGTTCCATGTCCTTCGCTCCTGCGCGTGCCCATTTATTGGGTCGCGTTGTAAAAGAGGTCTGCCTGGATACGTACCCGTGATCGGTGAGCTCCCGCGGCTTCTTAACAGCCACTTTTCCCTTCGATGTTACTCGATGTGCTGGAAAAAGAGTAGATACAGTATCATAAAATTGTTCCCATTTAAGTCGGGATAGATGAAACTTTGTTTCATATCCCTTGTCTCTAGCCTCAGTCGCGTGTTTACGTCGCAACTCGGTGTACAGATTCTCACGGTCGCTATTCCCTATGTTCTTACAGAACACATGCATAACCAGGAATTCGTACCATCGCTGTGCCTTGTCCTTTGCTATATCGGGACGTTTCAGGTCAGCGTCTAATTTCAGAATATAATTCTGAATGGGCGTGTTCTCAGCTGGTTCATTTAAAATTTAACTCAGCCCAGGGCTACGCATATCCATACTTAACAAGGATGTGACCAACCAACACACAGCTGGCCAGTCGCAACAAGCGTCTAGCTCATACAAGTCTTTCATAATAGTAGCTAACTTATTCTTAAGAGCAGCGTATTTAGTAATTAACTTACTTATGTGCTTCGGCTTAGAAGTCTCGGACGTAGATTCGGGTTTGCTACTTGAGCTTGCCTCCTCTTCTGGTTCCATAATAGGTTCCTTCTGAGATTTGTCCTTGTCCCCTATAATTGGGAACGCCCTCATAATTGGGAACTTTCCTTTCTGATTTTTGTCAGAAGAATGGGTTGGGGCGTCTTGAGAAGTATCCCTTGTCTCACTTCTTGGCTTCGTTAATGCAAGCTTTGAAGTTGAGGCAATAGTTGGCCCTCGGGCTCTGTCAGAAGGAGTAGTCTCCTTAAGCGGAGTGGCTACTTCCTTATCTGGAGCATTGTCCTTTTGACTATAATTGTCAGAGGCAAGTACTTTGGCTACAGTGCGCTTAAATGCATCAGCAGCGGCATCGGTTGCTTTTGCAGCAGTAATAGCTGCGGCAGCGCTAGCGACTTCTCTCTCCATCTTCTTCTTTTCAGCTCTACGCTTCTTAGAAGGAGTGTTGTATTTCTTGGTCATAATCTTAACTTATGACTACTAGCTTGTCTCTTAACGACTAGCTTAGACAAGAGAAAAAAATGTTGTGGTAGTTAACTTACCTTTACGCCTAAGTAGTCTAAGTAATTAATACTTTTGCTAACTTTAAAATGTGTAAGATTCGGTATAATAAAGGCGATACTAATGCCTTAGAATAAATAAACGCGTAGGTAAATTCTTAATATCGTGTAAATATCGATATAAATAAACGAAATGAGACGTTTAATAAAGTTAGGTTTGCCTCGTGAAAACAGCAATACTCTGAGGGATTGTGAGGCTGAGACATTGCCTATATATAATCCTCTCAGTACTGTTTCCGCCGAAGGGATTTTATTTAGTGTTTCGTTGTCGCTCTATTCTGGGACGTATCCGAGAGACTCATAAAATCCTATCTTTAGAAAAATATATATATAAAAAGAAAAATACTCTTGACTTCCTTAGTTATTGTCTTAACCAATAACTTGCCACTATCAAGAATTACCGACTTAGCCTTCATCAGACTGGCACATCTGGTTGGCTTATCGGAGGATCAACTAGGTAACGTTAATAGTCCCTAGAAACCTATATTCGGTTGAGCCATCTCGCTACCGAAGTATCCACATATAAATAAAATTTGAAAGTAAATTTAGCTCTGTTAATAGAACTAGACCAACTCTTTCTAAAACCCAAATATCTGATATGTCAAATGGAAAAGGTTTAATTAATAAAACAATTAAACCCCATTTTAGGAAACTTAAATTTCTCGTACTATTAAGAGTACATTTAGGAAACTTAAGTTCCTCGTACTATTAAGAGTACGTTTATAATTTGCGTACTGCTTAAGAGTACGTTTATACATCGAGTCTAATGTGGAGGCCCGGCTTATTACAATTTTACGGAGGAAGCAGTTGAGTACATGGTTGAATGAATGAACTCGACACTAGTGTCTTCTTTGGGGAGGTGTAAGGTCAACCATGTTTACCTGTTCCTGGGCGTTAATAAGAGTGTGAGAACTTCTAAGTGTGGGTGATAACCGATAAGTGTGAAAACTAAAAAGTTTGAAAAGTTCTAAGTTGTATTGTGCGGTTTGTTGGCGAACGGCCGAGCAGGCTCCAAAGAAGAGGTGGTTGGTGTATGATTGGTGCTTTGCGAACCGAAGTGCGGTGAAATATGAGCTGGAGGTTGGCTGATGACGATATATGTTGAATGGGCTTGTAAGCTCGAAATTGAGAAGATATACGATTTGATTGGCGGCCAGATTCTCAAGGAAATCCTTCGGAGATAGTATAAATATGTGGTTTAGTTCATTCAAGAAGTTCATTCTGCTAAGGTAGACATTTATTCAACAATCGAGGAAATAAATCTAAGTTCACCGTTACATTGTGTTTTGAGTCGATCTAGGAATACAAATTTAGACTTCTCGACTTCCAACAGAAAATGTCAGAATATTTATTTTATAAAAACAAATATTCATCGAACTACATGTAAATATGTATTTAGAATTGTAGATTGTAGGCTGTAGTGGTGTAGCCTGTACCTGTAGGACAGATATGGTAGCTCATCTTCGCTTTACTTTTACTGGTGGAGCCGAGCTACGCTCAATACGTTATGCCTATCTGCGTTACACTTTAAACGTAAACGCAAAAAGTTTTCTTTTTTAAAAGCGTTTTAAAGTATATCGGGGGCAAGTCGACCATGAAAACTTTCCAAGTTTGCACCTGAGAAATTGACCTTTCGTTGAATAACAGGGCCACGAAATGTGTAATGTCAATGAAATGCGATCCGAAAATATTCACAACTGACCTATTTGTAAACCCATAGGACTATTTTTAGGATAAACTTTGAACGTAAATGCTTATATTTTTCGTTTTAACGGGAAACGTAATGAGGTCAGGGGCCGGGGGGAACGCTTTCTCGCTCTACTAGTAGAGACCGTAGGCCAGTGTGCACAGAAGTTACACGATCCGAAGTTTCGGACTCATCGGCCTGGGCCCCGCGTTCGCCACTCCCGAGTCCCGGTATTATTTTTTTTAAACAAATATGTACTGTATGTAAATATTAATAATATTTACCCTAGTAAATAGCATACAATATACATAATAAATATTGTATTTATGTCTTCCTTTTTTGGTTTTTGGTTTTATTTTTTAACAGAAAAACCCCTCTGTTTTTTTAAAACAAAAAACAACAAAATAACAAAACCAAACCAAAACAATAAAAACGTAAATTTACTCCGTAGCCCAGGAGTGGAATGGGGAAGACACATAAGAGGCCGAGAGCTGAGAGCTGAGCGCAGTGAGCGCACGGAACTCAAGTAGCAAAAGGTTCATAGACGCGACGATGAATCATACGAGTACTACGCGAGGCTACGAGCAGGCGGGTTATGGGTACGAGAAGTTGGGTGATGGGTACATTATACATACATAGTTCATAATGCCACTGTGTCTAAGTCAGAGTGTCCCTGGTCCCATCGTAATAAATTTTAGGCACAGGTGTCAGGTGGTCAGGTGCAGTTCGTGTATTTATGTCCTCCGGCTCCTGATGAAAACTGGTAAGCAATACTAACTGATAATGTACGATCTTTTCCTCAGGACTCTGGACTCTGGAGTCGGTTCTGAAGTCTCCATAAGTGTATACGCTCTCTCAAGTCAAAGTGACAACAAGTCAGGTCGAAAACTATAGCCAATCTTTACTACAGTTCCCTTGTAGCAAAATTCGACGTCCAAGTCATAGATTCGAACGCGAATTAGCAAAGTGAGCCAGCACACAAGTTTTATATATTTTGCTTGGGAGGATACATGGTCGCGGGTCTTGGTGGCTGGTTGTGGATAAATTCGAATGGATCAGAAACAAGGTCTACTAGCCTATACTTAAGACTGTGATGCTTGAAATAGCTAAGATGATTATGAATAGAATCGAATGATACTCAAACTGACGACAATGTACTAGTACATACAAACATGGAGTCTAGCATCCGGTCACTGGCGCTGTTGCAGACTAGGAAGGTGAAATTCGTCGCGGTAGAGTCATTTCTCCAGCGGGGCCACCGACCCACATCTTTACAAAAAAACCTTACAGGTCTTGCTCCGAGAAAAATAGCCAATTCTGCGATTGATTCTCAACCACAAGGACAACAATATCGCGAATACTAACGCGAATAACTGCGTGCAGTTCCGTTCGCACAAATGGTATACAGCATGGCACAATCTGGTTATCTGTAGTTGCCAAACGAAGCGAGATACGAGTTGCATTTCGCAGTACGCAGTTTGGCTCGTGTGTGTCTCACATTTATAAATTTCATCATTGGTGGGGTTTCAATGTGTAAAATTATCGACACATGATAGTGTATTATCTATGTATCGGCTATATGTCGTGATCTGCTGATAATTAACAAGGACATCTGCATTTTTGATCTCTTCACGAATATTTGGTTCAGGTTTCATATATTACTAAATTTTCAAGTATCTTCGCTAAATTTTTTCTCCAGTAGATGGACTGCGCACACATTGATTGGGAGATCTCAGAGTTGGCGGGATGCGGGCTGACCAATACCTTGCCACACGGCACCTTTTGCAGTTGGCGTTGAAGTACGCGTGTCCACACAGTCCACGATGGGCTATGGGTACTGGAAGAATGATAAACCATAAATTAGAACGACTCGCGTAAAGCAGTACAGAATAGGCTAGATTGGCCATCGGCAAGTTTTGCAAGCTCCCGATCGGTTATCGCGAAGTACTACCCTGATGCCATCATCTGCTAAACTCAGCCCTAGTAGGCTAAAACTATCACTATCGTCTTTATAATCGCCACATTTAAAAGAGGAGTTTAGGAATTTTGGTTGTATTTATAGAACGGTTTACAGTCGTCGATGTGTAAAACCTGGGCAACACCTATGTTCACTTGAGAGCTATACAACTCTCCAGAACGTCACTATCGGCTATATAAGCTAACTACAGGCTATCACGCTCACCACCACAAACATGCACAAAGGTTTTGTATGTATCGGTAAAAACGTGCAATTTACTGATGTACTCTTGCAGCATTGTCCGGAATGATAGTCCAGCGTACCATGCATTTGCCGGCTTACCTGATGTTGGACCTAATGACGAGCTGGTGGCTTCGGATCGTGCTGATGATAGCGACGTCCGCTTACGTACTGTGCTTATCCCAACATACCTTATGATCGCGAGTGAGATATACGATGCAGGATAAGTGGCAACAATCAAATATAAGATATGTTGTACAGTTAATAACGTACGCGCTCATAACTAAACATCATATCAGACACGCTGTGCGACACGAGAATGTCTGCAATGGGGCCTATAGATGATCGGATCCGATCTCGCCTATAAGCTATTTGATACGAATTCACCCACGAGAACAGTGCGAGAGTGCGATTGGAAACTTGAAGACTTATATACCCTTGGATCACAGTGAGGCGATTGTTTTGATTGTAGCCAGTGCATGAGATGTCGCCACGCTCGGAGACACTTTGTGCTTCCATGCGAAAAGCGTGTCGAAACAATATACAGATGAGTATGCGAAAAGCGTGTCGAAACAATACACAGATGAGCATGCGAAAAGCGTGCCGAAACAATACACAGATGAGCATGCGAAAAGCGTGTCGAAACAATACACAGATGAGCAGGCGAAAGCGTGTCGAAACAATACACAGATGAGCATGCGAAAAGCGTGCCGAAACAATGCTCCTGCAGGCTGAACGAGCTTTACGAGTAGAAGTCGATAATATAAAAACAACACAATTCATCATTGTTCTCCAATGTGCATTCACGAATACTCCGATTACAAATACCTGCGATCGGAAGTAGAGGGGCCTTCGCTGGCAAGTCTCTGCATGTTACTTGAGCACTGCAACATGGATCCGTCAGGTACGCTGGGTTGTTTGTGACTGCTTCTGCATGCCAGATTAGGATTAGCATATAGCTTGAGCTTCTGATCGTGAATAGGCTTCGCCCACAAACAGAAAAGAATACTGTTTCATCATCGCGCCGTAACTAATTCATGACATGAATACAGACTTGGATCCAAAATAGCGTAACGTCTTCGGCGGATTTGTCTAGCGCGTAGATGTTCAGTGTAGTTCATTATAGCACGGCAAGTACGTGATCTGATGTTGACCCCACATTTAACAGTATGCGCGTACATGTCCGATGACATGCATGTAAGCAACATACGCGTTTGTGTTTTTGTGTTCATTGTCGGGCATGGTAAAACGGAACTCAGAGGACGTACAATCGTGCAACTATATTTTCGTACCTGAAACGTGTGCACTTTTCTAAGAGTGTGTACATTTCTTGGAATGGATAAAGTACAAGCACAGCCCATGGCTTTACCTTGAATGTGTGTAGGTCTCGTCCAGGCAAGGCTCATCGTAGTGCGGCGTATAGCTCCCACCACTTATCAGCGGTAGGCCGCCGCCTGAATTCGCACCGGTATATATTGGCGAGTCGAACTCTGTTCGCGTAAATCGTTTGGTGTGGGTAAGAACCAATATCGATCTGGCGTATTGTACTGCTCCAACTACTACAACAACGTTGAACAGGAGTATCGAATACTGATAGTATTCTGTACCAGTGCAAGATGCCGTAGCATATGCACAAACTGTGCGCTTGGAAGGAAGAAACGAGGCTGTGGATCGTGGATCGCACGGATACACCATGAGTAGTGGTACTATGCAGGTGAAGTGAAGTGAGCTCCACCCCACGTAGGTAGGGCACGTGCACACTAGGAAAGCCACGGAAACAAGCTGCACCAATCTACCCCACGGTTGCCCCAGATTATTAACGACTGTATGCCCAACATACTGAGCATCTCGCTCTCTACCCGCCACAGATCGTCCTATTAAACCCCTCGCCCAGTTAAGTATCCACTGGCGTGCAAATGTGAAATAAACTCCTGGAATATACGGCGCAACATGAGTTTAAATCAGTCGTACGGTAAGATAAAAAATACGATATCAATACACATACCTGTGTCTGTGGTGGATGAGGAATCCGAAGTATCGCCTGTCGCTGTGTGATGGGGTGCGCTCCGACACGCCCGTAGTTGGTATCGTTTTGTTGCTGCTGAGAGTTTCAGAAAACAGGCGGCCAGTATAAGATTTGAGCGGAATTTTAATCAGAGGATCGCTTATTGGGTCAATTGCAGGCACGTGAACGTACAGACTTATACACAGTGGTATAGAATTGCACTTGTAAAGATACTCACACGTGTGCACAGTTGTATATATACTGATTTTCCTGGTGCCACAACACTCACTTGCGCATACACATACGCCCCCGCTCACATTATCAGGTGAATTAGCAAGGGAATGACAAGCACAGAGACTCGCCAGTTATAACACACACCTGTGCCAGTAGTGGTGGGTTGTATATTATCGTTCGTATAATTATCCATATCCGATTCGACTGGAATTCTATCTGCTGCATTGATATCCGCGGAACGATCCGGTCTCGGTGTCTCACGCCCGTCAATATCTTTTGCAGTATACGAGCTTTCTAAATTGTCTATATCGTTGCCGTCTTCTGCGATCGTACTTGTGGCAGCCTTGTGAGTACTATATATGCGTGTTTCCTTGAGTCTCGTCTCAACAACACCAGTTCCTCCTTTATTGGCTTGTAGACCGGTTTCGGTCGTCACCTGAAATACCTCTGATATTGATTGCTGGGTTGATAGTTTCTCCGCACGCACCATCCAGTAGCTAGTTTTGATGAGATACCATCGCGTCCACAGCTGTTGCCAAGCAAATAGAAAATTAGTGCACCATATCTACACTGTAGTTTTCACAGACGAAAGTATTCTATACACTGTACGATATCGTTATTTGATCCCTCGCCTGTGGAGAAACCAACTGTTCTCCTACAGATTCTCACAACATACTTTTGCGATGATCAAGGGTGAAAACATCAAAAACATGATAGTCGACCAGGAGATGCCATATATGGTAACTGCTCGGCGGCAAACCCTCAGCAGTATACAGGTGAGCGGCACTGTGACATAGCCAAACCGATCACTCAGTAGACTCACAGTGCAATCGCCCAGACCACTCAAAGAGTTTTTATTAGTCCTGCATGGCATAAGAGAGGATTTGGTTATGCTATGGAGCGAAATCCAAAGATTATATACATATATAAATAGCAATATTTATATATTTATATTCATATATATATATATATATATATATATATATATATATATATTATATATATATATATATATAGTGGTCGTTCGTAGTATAGTAGTTAGTTGTCTCGTAG